AAGTGAGTGAGCAGATGGGTGGGAGTTCGGCTGGTAGCCAAGACTAACTCACCGCATGCACAGGATAAACAAGAGTTTATGATGCAGTTTATCATCTGAAGTTTGCTTTTGCACTTTACGTCAACACTGACTAGATTATTGATACCAACTCCTGGTAGAAAATATACATTTTACACTGGTAATATTTTATGCATTGACATCATCTGTGATGGGTGGTTCTGTGGCTTTTGAGAGGAGAATCTTCTATTCTAGGACTTATTTACACAGATATTTGGTATATTTTTCTGCTTTGCAGTTATGAGGTTGGGGTGGAAGAAAATTATTACCTTCTCGGTCTCGGATACAGAAAAATATCTCAACAAACACTATACAAATATTGTTTCTCAGACAGGACTGGTTTATACCTTAGTAATAATTCATCTAATGTTCACATCTTTAAGATTCTGCAACAACTGCCTTCCTAAAGCTGATTCCTTTCACTCCTAATGAGATACACCACTGAATACATTTATTTCCATTTATGGAACAAAACTTTGTAATAACAACATATATATATTTGAATGTGCATCCTTGAACTACTATTCTGAATGCATTTACGGTGTATATGTTATCATGTTAAGAAAAAAAGAACAGAAGATGACTTAAGTGTTTTGAATCAAAAATTGGAAAAGGAAATAGAGACTTTTCTACTTTTTCCATTAAAACATGAGTACTTGCAAAGTAGTAATTCTCTCAGGCTAAATTATTGAAATAAAAGCAAACAGAACATGATCTGGAAAATTCTAAAGTCTACCCAAGTAACTGAGATATAAAATACGTGCTAGAGATGCCTAAGTCCTTTTTCTTTCTTTCTGACCATTCCTGGAAGAGAGTATTTTCTGACCTGATTTTGAATGTAAACTCCTTCTTGGTTCCTCAGGCCCCTCAATTGGTTGGTCAGCAAGGAAAACTCGTGCCTGGTCCACAGCATTGAGAATGGTCTGCTCTTTATCCTTCAGTTCACGCCTCAGTGCCTTTAGGGATGGGAAAGAAGAATGTCGTTTGTAACTTTATCTTGTGGAAAACAGATACTATACCATTTTCTCTGCTTTCACCTCTCTGACCAAACCTGTCTAGTGAGTGAGTAATAGCAAACATGTCATTCAGACTACAAGATAAAATGTAAATTTTATAAAACAGAAATGGCAAGAAATTAATTAAAGCTAAAAGGGTAATTCTTATAGAACTGACTTGAAGAATTAAAGACAAGAAAGATGATGGTAGATTTTAAAAACACTCATCTAACAGAAATGGAAAATACTACATTCAACTTCTTTAAAAAAGTAAAATTAAAGGCTTTATTGCTATTAACAAGATTGCAAATATATAGCAGGTTACTACAACAGACTATTTTTTCATTTCCAGTATCTAGAAAAACAGAAAATTGCATCTCCTAAAACTTCAGAATTACTGAACTAATTTCACAAAGACCTGCAAAAGTACTTTGCATTCCTTAGAAAATGCTACCTCTTATTTGTGTCTCCTATTTATTAATATTTTTAACATTTAGAAGATATGTAACCAGAACTTCTATGATGAGAATACATTCTGAAAAAGTATCCTTCAAATTAGCCAAAAAAATATTTTGAGCTTGATTATGCAAAAACAAGTAGGCCTTACGTATAGAAAAAAAATCAATTTTTCTTTAAGATGTTTTTATTCTAATGGAAATGAATTTCAGGATATTTTGTTCTCCAGTATTGTGACTTTTTTAAAGGGTTAAGTGTAATAACTTTATTTTTTAAAAAAAAGTATTAATAAGTAATTTTTTTAAAGCATTTTCTTCCATTCAATTTTTTAAGTATAAATCTGCCACATCTAGAAGGAAATTGCTTTGCATGTATTATTTGTATTACTTTCTACCAATAGAAACACAAAAGAAGTTACTTAGGCATTATTAAAATGCTATGCCCTAATTTTCCAACATATGTTTTAGCTCTAATTAAAAAATCAAGGGTTATTTTGCTGACACAAACTCCTCGGGCCCCATTCCAGCTCAAGAAAAGCAGTTAGTCAGAGTTCACAACATTACACAACAAAACGAGTGCTTTCAACTACAGAAAATTGTTACTGTGAAAGTCTCACAAAAGCTACCTTATCCTTTTCATCAGTAAGTGTCTTGGTGCCACAAACACAAAAAGACACCTACCTCTTGACTTGCTTAGCAGGAGGCAAGATGTTATTTCTACCTCACTTTATTCCTTTATCCTCCTCATCTTCCCAAATCCTTCCAATTCCTCCTCACCCTACTTCTGCTCCAAATTAAATTAAAAAAAACAACAACAAAACAAACCACAACAGCAAAACCCCAAGCAAAAACTAATCACTGAAAATATGCTAACCTCCATTACATTTAGACACTTGTGTTAGACAGTCCTATCTTCAGTAACCATTAACTATGGTCTTTACACAAAAAAACTCTTCAGAACAGTGTTCTCTCTGTATGCTTTTGTGTAGCAATAATAATAAGTACTATTCTTTGTAGGATTCGCTATATCGTATGTTTCAGAAGAAACAAAAATTCTAATTTAAATTGTGGTTTAAAACCTAAGCATTACTTTGTAAAAAAAAAATAAAATATTTTTTTTACAGAAACTGAAGTATCATAAGAGCAAAATTCCCAATGAACCTCTTCAAATCAGCACAGTATGTATCTATAACACACATTAGAATAAGACTTTTCAAAATCATCTATATTTTACAAGTCATGAAAACATTCTATATGCAGGAATCTGTTTCAGGAAAGAAAGAAAACAGGAAGCCATTATCACTACAGTGGCATTAAGGCTCAAAAATTACCCATCTAAAAAGCTTTTTATTAGTACAGCCTGTATGGATGCATCTTTAAAATACGATCCTAACTTTTAGTTACAAAGATTTTGTCAGAAACAAAGGGGCGATTACTTCAGTGTGAAGTATGAAATTTTTCTAGAATTACTTTTTTTTTTTCCTGAAGCAATTGCCCAAATATTTCCAAAGCATACAAGAAAAAGGAGGCTATGTCAGACTTTGAACCTACTAAGAAATTTCAGCAGTTGGAAATAATCTAGAGATGATCACTTTTGCTGTGCCTCTCCTGTTTACCTTCACACAGCGTGTTCATCAATGTCTCCTGATCACCCTCAATAAAACTTCAATCAAGTCTGACCTAAGAGACCTTGGATTTAATTCTCTGTCCCTCTCCACCATCCCCGCCACTGAAGCTGTTCAAATCGAGGTTGACAGCCCAAAGGTTTTAAAACTTTTGCCCATATAGCTCATCAACTCTAAGTCATCCACGACATTCCTTATTGATATATCTTGAGAAAGAAACCTTTTAGCATGACTGAAACCTTGCAGATGAAACAATATTATTGAAATAATTTAGTAGTAAAGAAAAGTATGTTGAGCACACTACAAGCTTCTTACATTATGGTTTATACCTTTTATCCTTATGCCACAGATGCAAAAATACAATTTTTGGAACAACCACTCAAACTTGCATAACTTTACGCCTTGTTTCTTAGAAACATTTGATGTATCTCCCTGTCTCTCTCTTTCTGCCAGTAAACAAGAACAGCAATGAGAGTACATGATGCAAGAATAACCAAATATATCAGTAATACTCTCTTGTACTCCAGGCAAATCTCTTTGCAACAGAACAAAAAAGAAATTCACTTATAAATCTAATCTCGAGCTCAAATATCACCTGTCTTGAGTGGACTGAAGAAAGATTTCACTGGAAAAAATCACTCTACAAGAACACCACAGAATAAATTTAAGTCATAAAAAGCCCAGCAACGAACATAAAAGCTGCAGTATTGAATTTGATTATTGTATTAAAGAATTGTATATAATAATAAGTGCAATCATGCATTTTTGTGTTTTATTTAGTTTTGAAAAAGACACCTCCCCAGTGGTTACTCAAAATGGATTCATCTCTTTCAGTAGAGAAGTACATTACTGGGTCATTTCATTCCCCTTTGTTTGTCATTAAGGACTAAAATAGTTAAAGCATTTGTACAGCTTTGAGCATAGCACAGATTTTGGTAGAGAGAGAACT